ATGGTGAAAAACTGACTTTGAAAAATAAATCTGTTCTTTTTTTTCTCATAAAAGGCTAAATAAAACAAAATATTGGTGGTAATTTTTGACTGTGTAACTTCAAACGGCACCCCATACTTTCTGCAAGTTTCAGTATCAATTATGATTAAAATTTAAGATCTTTATAAATCGCAAATTGTAATGAGTCGTTAAATTTCATTCAATGTCAAACTCAATTTATAAAAAAACTACTACAACCTAAACTTAGCACAAAAAGTAAGATTTGTTGTAGATTTCTTTCTTGTAACAATATAAATCATATATGTTTGAAAAGCCTGAAAAATTCCCTTTTAAATAATGCCACATTTGTAAGGAACATGCATTTGTGGGATGAGCAGCAGAGCTGAGAACGTGGGTTTTGACAGGGCTGATGCATGATGGGACCTTTAGCTTTGTTACAGCGAGATAATTAAAATCCTCATAATGAACAAATTTAAAAAACATTGATAGAAATAGCTTGAACCTCTACAAATTTAAAATGTAGCTAAATGTATGTAAAAGACCTGGATTTAAGACTATTCATCACCTAAAATATGAAATATTAAACTTTTTCTAAAACTGTTTACAAAGTTTTGTATGCTTTAAGTTAGAGAAAAATATTCCTTATAAAAATGCATGAACATAGTATACAGTGACTAATATGTACTGAACCCTGGGCTCATTTTTTATCTGATAATCAGACTCTACTGTCAAAATTAATTGTTAGGTTAAAAAAAGCACCAGAATCAAATATGTAAACAAAAAAGTTTTACTGACTTATGAGCCAAAAAAGCTTTAGATCAGGTGGATTGGTAGAAATATGTAAATATCAGTTGTTCACACAGAGGGCAACTATCTGCCTTTTACTTTTTGACACTTTTTAAACAATAAAAATGCTATTTGGACAAAAAAACCTTTATAAAAAGGAAAACTGTACACGAGGGTTAGAAGTAGAACAGACAGAGCAGTTTGTGAGGCAGAACTACGAGGGTTTTTCTCTGATCAAGTCTTTGTAAAGTCTCTGAAATGCCTCGGAGTGCTCTGCATCGATGGAGCCTGCTGCTGCTGCTGCTTCTACACAACTGCGTACTGCTGATACAGCAGCTCCCGGATCCTATAGTAGTCGTCACACAGGCAGCCTTCTAGGCCGATGCGTCCGGGCTCCGTCTGGACAAAGACAGCAGAAAAACGCACGGGTCATCTCCATCCTTTAAGCATCAAGTTAGCATCTTTAAAGAAAGACGAAGGAACTCCACGCAGCAGAGGATTCGTTACTTTCTGCAGTCTGGGATTAGGAGTCTGCTGCAGCTGCGTTGAGTTTTCCTATCGAAGCAGCATGTAGGCACGCTCCATTAACAGTCGCAACACTCTTTGATTTCATTGTCTGAGCTGCAGCTATTTTAAGTTCTTGTCAAATGTGCAGTTTGTTGTTGGGATCCTGGCACGCTCCTTCAGTGGAGCATTGAGGTGAGGTTTTTATATCCTCCTCAGGGAAGCTGGATTTGCTTCTCTCCGTCTCTAATGCTCCATTTAGTCTTCTTGTTGTTTTATTATAAGTGCACTGATTTTAGGTGTTGTCTAACAATATCCAGGCGTTCGTATGAATGCTAAAAATAGGTTTTCTTGTAAGAATAAATGCACTTGTTTATGCAGACACCACCAAAGGATTTTTTTTTTTTCACAAAACAGATTTGTTGAATCAGCACTGTGATTTTTGTGTTTCCACCACTGTGAACTCTGGCTCTAGTACATAATAAACCGGTGATGTTGCAGCACTTCTTTCTGGGCCAGACCCAACAAAAT